GTGAGTAAGGCCGACCTCTGTATTCTCTATTTATACCGCAAGTGTAGGTAAGTAAGTAGTATTGTACAGTAGGTACCGGTAAGCTTTTTAATGTGGCTAACCAGAGTTCTTACGGAATTGAAATTATTTCTTTTTATTTTCTCGTAACTGGTCCTGCACACAGAATATAACAACAAAATAATATGAAACATGATTGTCGAATGGTAGGTAATGTAAATGTTAATAAAACTATTGCATTATTATTTATAAAGCATTTACAAAATGTGTGTGACCTGATTTACTATATTAGTATTTCCCCTAAGATTAAAATTATGGTACACTGTAAAATTAAATACTATCATTAACCACTACAACTAAAAAGAACATACATCCTTTTTTACTATTGAGTTTATACAATATAAATAAATTAACGATGTAAATACCTAACTTATCTAAATATTAAACAAAACATAAATAATCACATTTTAAACATAGGCCTACAACATTTTGTAGTTTTAGGCGCAAATAAATTTGTATTTCTTTAAATTATAAAAAGGTGCACCCATTGATATTTTAAATAATACTTCAGCATAGAATTTATATCTTAATTCCAAGGATAGACTTGGAAATTATATGTAAAGCCGATATAACTCCATTTAATGTTGTATATTGAATATAGCCTTAGTTAAATATTAGAAATCCCAAACTTAATAATATGACCGCAACTTGTTCATGGCCATATTGGTAACAATGCTTTATTTTTTAAACAATTGTACTCTGACTAAAATCAACCTTGGTATTATGCCTTACACAAGCTAGGAAGCTAAATAAATACGCATAATTACCATTGCCTTCGAAGGCAATATCGTGCGTCTGACGTGTCTGTCGGTCTGTGTGTGGGTGTGTCTGCCTGTGTGTCGGTCTGTGTTTCCAGTAGCATAAATCAAAAACTACTAAAACTACTAGACCGATTAACTTGAATCTTTCACACATTGACAATATTACATGTATCTAGATCCTCATCGAATTTGGTGCTCATTAGAGAAGATGTAAATTTTATAACGTTATTTATATACTTGTTGAAATCCGACTATGTGTCAAATTCTGACCGGCGGAATGGAAGGTGTGTAAATCCGACTGATGGGCTTGCCACTTTCAAAGTGTCTTGGTTCCCTGTCAAGAATGTTGACCTGTGCCAGGTCCACATGATGTCCAGATGATTCAATGTGTATATGTTAAGAGATTTCCGATGGAGTTGAACTAGGTCTACGATGCTTCAAGAAACGTGTTTTCAGAGTTCTTTCTGATTCCCCAATGTAAGAATCCTTACATTTGCCGGAAGTAGTTTTGCCTTGTCAAAGAGGCAATTTATATCCGGGTGAACAAGCCAACGCTGAACCGAGACGGGGGCCGACACAAGCTGCCAAAGATCTACGATCCGATTTTGGAGTCACGTGATATTTACATTTTGTCAGCAGACAAAGGTAAGCTTGTAGTCATCCTAGATAGTGAAGATTACAAACAGAAATGTATGACACTCCTTAATGATATTAAAACCTACAAGAAACTTGGGTCTAGGGATCCAACACCGAAATACAAGAAAGACATTGTAGCAGTGCTTTCATCACTTGAAAAGGAAGAGAACATTAATAGAGGTTGTTATAGGAAATTATATCCCACCACTGAAATGCCTCCAAAATTTTATGGTCTGCCCAAGATTCATAAAGCGAACATCCCATTGAGACCAATCGTCAGTAGTATTGACTCGATCACTTACAGTTCAGCTAAGTTTTTGGCTGAAATTCTCTCATCTTTAATTGGAAATTCAATTCATCATGTGGTAAATTCTCTAGAATTCTCAAAACTAATGAAAAACAAGACAGTTGAAGAGGGTGATGAGTACGTCAGTTTCAGTGGATAAATCGTTGAATATCATTCACACCAGACTGCAAAACGATCCTACCCTTAGTAATAGGACCACCGTTACACCACAACAGATTATTAAGCTCTTAGAGGTATGCCTGAGTTGCTCATATTTCGTATACAATGGCACGTTTTACCAGCAAATCCATAGAGCGGCTATGGGCTCACCGGTATCCCCCATCGTATGCAATCTTTACATTGAAAATATGGAACAACTGGCTATCAAGACTGCCCTTCATCCCCCAATTTAGTGGTACAGATATGTTGATGACACACACACAAAACTGAAGAAAGCTCACGCTCAAGAATTTACTGATCATCTGAATTCATTGGACCCGGATATTAAATTCACAACAGAGGGCGAGGTCAACCGTTCGCTGGCTTTTCTTGACACGCTTACAGTAATACAGAATGATGGTAGCATTAATATCAAAATCTACAGGAAACCGACACACACTGATCAATACCTTAACTTTAACTCTAACCACCCTCTTCAACATAGATTAGGGGTCATCAATACACTTTATCACAGAGCCAACTCGTTCGTCACAAAGGAGGAAGATAAAATTCATGAATGCTTACACATCAATCAAAGCTCTGAACAGATGTGGTTATCCAAACTGGGCTATTAATCGAGCAACTAGGAGACATAAGCGCAAGAAAGACATCCAAAGACAGAAGACAACAAATAAAGGGTTGGCCGTTATCCCATATATAAAGGGAGTCTCTGAAACCCTCAAGCGAACCTTCGAAACATTCGGCATCAAAACGTGCCTTAAACCCACATGCACCCTACGACAGTTGTTAGTATCACCAAAGGACAAGAGCCAAAAAAAAAAAAGACATCACCGGCGCTATCTACCACATCCCTTGCCAAGGCAAAACTACTTCCGGCATATGTAAGGATTCTTACATTGGGGAATCAGAAAGAACTATGAAAATACGTTTCTTGGAGCATCGTAGACCTAGTTCAACTTCATCGGAAATCTCTCAACATAAACACATTGAATCACCTGGACATCATGTGGACCTGGCACAGGTCAACATTCTTGACAGGGAACCAAGACACTTTGAAAGATGTGTCAAAGAGGCAATTTATATCCAGGTGAACACACTAACACTGAACCGAGACGGGGGCCGACACAAGCTGACAAAGATCTACGATCCGATTTTGGAGTCACGTGTTGGTATGATCACGTGCCCAAAATCGGTGTAGCCTTCAAGTCACATTTCCGTCATTGTGCTGAGGAAGACCGTGGTATACGGTTGAAAATTTCACGGTAAGGAAATTTGTTTGTGTTGAGATCAAAAGTTTAAACTTTCACTACATTCGATAAAATTTACACCTAAACACGTGCATTTTCACCACTCGACCAAATTTCACCTGATATGTATTTAGCTAGTAATATTACACTCCTATAATACAATATTACACCACTATAATACAAAAACAACCAGCGGATCGAGCTCATCGATTATATACAAGATATGGCGAACAGGGCGAGGGTTTTTGTGATTGGTTAATTGTCAAGCTTTCAAAGTTTGTAGATATAATGTACTCTTCCAATTTGTTTTTGCTTTGGTGGATGGATATTAAATGTTATATTAAATATTAAATTATATTATAGTATAGTAGAGTAGATATAGCTCAAAAAAGGGCATAACCCCCCCCCCCCAAATAAAAAAAATTGCAACAAAATGTTTTTCAACCTTTTTATGTTACTATTATATGTGCTAAATAACATACAGAAAATCCGACCACCGGAAAGTGTTTTTTTTTTTCAATATCAGGCTTTATGGGTCAATAAGTCATTTGAGACAATTTTGAATGTAGTCTGATCAATATGAATAAATTCAAAATGGCCGCCATGTATAAACAGCCATAAATCAGTTATTATAACTACATAAGCATTGTTGTTATTTGGTAATGATGTATGTAATTGTAAAAAACATCAAGCATTGTTTTATTTATCATTTAACATTTTCGCTATTTCACCTACTGTATCTCAACAAGTCTTTGGAATAACCTGCCTTAAGAAGCTTTCTGATTGGCTAATTTGTCTTACGTCAATATATTTGACATTAGCAATTTTAGAAAAGTAACACTTAACATGGTAAACATGAATAAACAGGCATCAATAAATGAAGATTACTTTTAAAGTGTCTTTTCATAATATGTTGCGCCGAAGCACTAAAAATAATATATTTTTGAAAGAAGTCCTCTGATTGGCATGGTTGGAACTATCTTGAGTATATTTCCCGCACGATTAAAATCGTAACGGTACTGGTTTGGTCTACAGGAGCTCGTGCTTCGTACAGGTCATTCCATTCATAGAAAAAGCCTTTTTCTTGGAGAAAGCGTACCTGTCGTTAGCCATAGTAGCCTAGGTCAATACTAACTCCGGATATATAAAATTGATTATAAGATTGAAAAGTATTCACCATATTATTGTAGTAGTGTCACTATGTCCACATTTTAATTATTGTTATTTATTCATTAAGGTTATTATATATATTATTTATATTTAAATTTAGTGTATCGTTTAAGTATGAATTTTTACGTCGATGTTAAACTAATCTTATCTATTAAAATTGTATTAAATAACAATTATAATTATAGTCATAGCCGAGCCATAGCCTAGGCCTAAATCTAGTGACTGTGTCAGAGGTCTCGGTGCCACGGCCTACACTTTTCATAATTCAACATCGATGTCCAATGTGAAACATGTCGGCTGCCGGCCCCTTGACCTCTGACGATTAGTTCCAACAAATTTCCACAAAAAGTGTGATGCAATAATGACAAAATTATTATTATTGTTTATTGTCGGTAAATATTTCAGCCGCTCCAAATTTCTTTCCTATTTCTTCTTCCTATGCTTCTTCTGTTTTTTCATAAAATTTAATTTAATATACTAATACATATTTACGCATAATATTTATATAAATATATAAATAAGTATATCATTTCCATACATAGTTACATATTTTAACTGGAATCTAGAACTAGGCCTGTGTATACATTGTGTCTGTAATTAACATAATTCAATCATATTGTTCCATCATATCGCTTTATTTAAATATTATCAAATATTAATCTT